TCTAACCTGCAATCCCAGCCCTTTCGCCTCCCCTGCTGGTGCCGGTACCTCCTACCCTACTCTGCAGCCCAGCTGGGACGTGGCTCGGCTCCTCCAGGAGACGCCGCTGGGTCAGACTGGATCCTGGACAGCAGTTTGTGGCCAGGCTGGGCGAGCCCTGTTTCCTGAGCTGGCTGTTGCTGCTGCATAAGCCCCCGGAGGAGGACAGGCCTCCTGTGGCCACAGCAGGTGTACAGGTAACAAGACCAGGGGAGGGGACCCAGAGGTTCTTCTCCACAGGGAGGAGGGGCCATGTACAGGGTGGGGAGAGTGTAGCCAGGTACACCCCCAGGCCATCTCATTTAGTGAACAGAGCAAAGTCAGCGGCTCCAAACTCAGCATTCATGGAAATAGCCCATTCATCCGGCTCTGATTTCAAGATCTCTGGAAACTTCTTCATTCATTTCTTTTTCATGGCTGATGGGGGGATTCCCATTATGTGGGGCCCAGGGATTCCCAGGGACTCTGGGGACCTCGATTAACTTTGAACACACTTCATGAGACTCCGGCCCAGCCTTCTGACCCCAGCAGTCCCTGGAAACCAAAGCAAGACAGACTGGCATCCTGGGGTGGAGGTGGAGGCAGAGCCAAGGGTCTCCAGCTGGCTGGAGGACCGCCTGCACAGAGACAGACATTTCCAAGTCTCTGAAGTCCAGGTCTTCTTCCCTGGAGTTGGACTCAACGTTCAGGGGTTACAGCACAGGAATGGGGGGGGGGGGTGACGCGGATATGACATGTCGTGAAGAGGTCCTCCCTTGGGGCGCCTGGGTGGCTCAGTTGTTGGGCGTCTGCCTTCGGCTTGGGTCATGATCTCAGGGTCCCAGGATCAAGCTCCCTGCTTGGCAGGAAGCCTGCTTCTCCTCTCCACTCCCCCTGCTTGTGTTCCCTCTCTGGCTGCCTCTCTGTGTAAAATAAATAAATGAAACCTTTAAACATTTTTTTTGGAAAAAAAAAAGAAGAGGTCCTCCTAGTAGGCTCCTTGCTAGGAGGACTGTTTTCCTTCCCCAAGAAAAAAGCAATCCTTGGGCTCCTTTGAGGCATGTGGACAGACAGGATCTCTGCAGTTTGGGCCACAATCTTCAAAGTGATGGGTTTTCTTTTTTTTTTTTTTTTAAGTTTTATTTATTTATGTAATCTTTATATCCAATGTGGGATTAGAGTCCATGACCCCAAGATCAAGAGTCACATGCTCTTCCGACTGAGCCAGCCAGGCACCCCTTAAAATGACAGGCTTTCTGACTAGAGCCGTATCAGGGGCCTTGGCCAGATTTCAGGAAGGGTGCTCGATCAAGGCCTGATTTCTGCTGGGACCTCCACAGAGACTGAGTAGAAATGGAGCCCTGGGCCTGGAGCACTGGGCAGCCCCTCTGGACCACATTCACCTCTCAGACACATGAACCTTGGTCTCTGTCTCAGCCATCGCTGGGGCTCGCACCAATCCAGGGCCCCACTGGAGACCCTTACATGACTTATTTTTAAAAAGTAGCTCCCAGTCCTTTTCCCTTTATTTTTCATTACCAAGTTGCCACCACTTTATCTATTAGCCATTTCTTTTTCTTTTTTAAAAAATTTATTTATTTGAGGGTCACCTGGGTGGCTCAGTCATTAAACAGCTGCCTTCAGCTCAGGTCATGATCCCAGGATCCTGGGATTGAGCCCCATATCAGGCTCCCTGCTAGCTGGGAAGCCTGCTTCTCCCTCTCCCACTCCCCCTGCTTGTGTTTCCCTCTCTTGCTGTGTCTCTTTCTGTCAAATAAATAAAATCTTTTAAAAAAATTATTTATTTGAGAGGGAGAGAGAGAAAGAGAACACATGAGCAGGGGGAGGGACAGAGGAGAGAATCCCAAGCAGATGCCCTGCTAACTGTGGAGCCTGCCCCAGGGCCTGATCTCATGACCCTGGGAACACGACCTGAGTCAAAACCAAGAGTCTGATGCTTCTTAACTGACTGAGCCACCCAGGCGCCCCTTATCTGTTTCTAAATAACATGCCTAAATTGCATTTTAATTCAGCCCATTCATACCTGTGATGGTTATACTCTTAGGGTGGTTTGTGACTCTCACCTCCTGGGATTTGTATCTAGGTAATAAAGATACAAATACATAACTCAAATTAGTAACCTAACTCAAAGAGAAGTCTTGCCTTGGCCATTGGCTTCTGGCAGGTAATCAATCACTAAGCCCTTGGAACATGCCAGAAACTCTTAACAAAGTGATTTATGGTGGGGCTTTGGGTCTTGACCTCCAGAGTGGTTGGACTTTGAGGTTAGACATGTAGGCAGTCAAACACTTGAGCTCCAATAAAAATCTGGACACTGGGGCTCAGATGAGCTTCCCTAGTTGGCAATATTTCTTGTGTATTGTTATATGCTGACGCCAAGAGAATAATGCATCTGTGACTCTATAGGGAAGGGAGAACAGAAGCTCTGTTTTCTTTCTTTTTTTTTTAAGATTTTATTTATTTATTTGACAGATAACAAGTAGGCAGAGAGGCAGGCGGGGTGGTGGGGGAGGAAGCAGGCTCCCCACCTAGCAGAGAGCCTAATGTGGGGCCCGATCCCAGGACTCTGGGATCATGACCTGAGCTGAAGCCAGAGGCTTTAACCCACTGAGCCACCCAGGTGCCCCTCTTTTCTATCCTCCAGGGCTCTGCTCTATGTGTTCTTCCCTTGGCTAATTTTAGCCTGTATCTTCACCCTGTAATAAATTGTAACCAGTAACCAGGACTATAACTGTTTCAGTGAGTTCTGAGTCCTTCCAGCCAATTATCAAACCTGAGTGCTTGTGGGGGGGACTCCTGAAACTGCAGTTGGTGTCAGAAGTGAGGCAGTTCCTGTGGGGGTGGTTTCCCCTTCAACTGTGTAGTTGGCTGAACTGGCACAACACTCCTGAGCGAGTGCCCTCCCCCAGAATATGTATGGGAACCTTGACTTGTTTCCAACCAATCAAATATGGTAAAGGGGATGGAAGGTACACATGTGCATGCAATTATGTTACATAAGACCATAGCGCAGCCTCTTGTGCTGGAGTCTCTCCCTCCCTTGAGCTCTGAAGTGACCTGCCATGTTGTGTGGGCTGCCAGTGCTGGGGGGATGACATGGCAAGGAACCCAAGGCAGTTCCTAGCAGCTAAGGGTGACCTCTGGCTGCTGTCCGTAAGAAACTGAAGTCCTCAGCCTTTCAAACGTGTGGACCTAAACACCGCCAACAAAGCACCTTTCTCGGTCAAGCCTCAGGTGAGACTGCAGCCCCAGGTGACACTTTGATAGTAGCCTTGTGAGACCCTGCACAGAGCCACACCCAGGGTCTTGACCCACACACACAGAAAATAAATGTGTGCTGTTTGAAGCCACTAGGTTTGTGGTAACTTGTTAGGGAACAATAGGGAACTATAGAATCCAACCCCTCAATCCCACTGTCACCATACAAGCCCTCAGCCTGTTGCCTTAGCCTCCCCAAATAACTCATCATAATTTTGATAAGACCGAGTCAATGGTTATATTACTTCAACTTCATATATAAATACAGCTGAGCAATATTCTCAAATCAGAACTTTTCTTGCACGAATTTGTTTTTCCCCTGGAATTAAAAGAAGTTTGGAATTTTTTTGGTCTGTTTTTTTTTGTCTACTTCTCTATTATTTATTATTCTCTATTATTTAGCATCCACTGTCCCCCAAACTCTCTTCCAAATATCTAACTTTTCTCTTAGTATGTTCAAATAGGTTGTTAGACATGTATAAAGTGCACAAACTGTAAAGGAGAAGACTGATAAATTCAACTACATTAAAATTTTTAAAACTTGTTTACTAAAAGACACCAAAAATGGTAAAGACACACCACACAAGTTATTCATTATGTAGACAAGCAACGAAGCATAAATATCCAAAGTATATGAAGAACTTCTACAAAACCATGAGAAAACAATACAATAGTCAATAAGAAAATGTACAAAATACTCAAGTAGGAAAAGGTTAATGAACAGTCTCTACATTGAATGCTGCCTGAGCAGAGGAGAAAGGGTGATTCCATCCGTTCCTTTCAGTGTTGTACCATATACATTTATTACCTTTTCAGAAATACATATAAAAGTGTTGCAAAAGGGGTGCCTGGGTGGCTCAGTTGGTTAAGCCTCTGCCCCCAGGGTCCTGGGATCCAGCCCCACATCAGGTTCCCCACTCAGAGAGGAGCCTGCTTCTCCCTCTCCATCTACCTGATGCTACCCCTACTCGTATTCCCTTTCTGTGTGTGTGAAATAAATAAATAAAATCTCTTTAAAAAGTGTTACTAAAAATAAAAATAATAAAGGAAAAGAAATTATATGTTTCATATTTGGCCATGTGCATTGGTCTATATTTTGCTATGACTTTATGGATTTCCTGAGACATGTAAAGACAATATAGAACTTATCTTTTCATTTCCTTCTTGCCTATTCTGGCATAGGACAGGACACTGCTTCCAAATATATTTGAACATTGAACAAAGCCTACCAGTTTTGTGGAGGCAATGATCATTTCTCATATTGTCTCTTGCAAACTTCCTCACGCATTTGTGCTAGGTGAGAAGTAGTGTTCAGTGAGTGTTTGATGAATATAACTCAGGCGATATGTATTTCTAATTTTATTTGTAAGTAATCTCTATACCCAACATGGGGCTCAAACTTAGAGCCCTGAGATCAAGAGTCACATACTCCACCGACTGAGCCAGCCAGGCACCCCATGTCCTTCTTTTCATTCCAAACTGGTGAAGCTTTTAGATCTTAAAGACTCCTTTTGCTTCTTATTCTTTGACTAATCTCTTTCCTAGGACGATCAATCCTTTTATACTGATTCAGGTTTCTTTAGACAGTTGAGAGCTAAATCATTATTTACATTCCTTTTGGTCGATCACTGATGCGACAAATTTCAAACATTCCAGTTATTATAAAGTCACTCTAATTCTTGATTCTTTTCAAAAATATAATTTCAAAATTCATAAAAAACTGGAAATCCATTTTTTCTTTCATATGCAATTTGCTGTGATAGAAATTCTTTATTTATTTTGTCAATTTGGTCCCGAGAGAAAAGATTGAATCCAGGAATAAAATAATGCTTCAGTTGTTCCGTCTTGAGGCACTCAAGAAAGTATGTCACACACTTATCAAAGCAGAGCTCTAAGTCTCTGGTATCCCACTGACTGTCTTGTGGGTCCAGGGTACAGACATGAAAGAAGGCAGTTTTCACATGGTAGGAGCAGAATTTTTCCAGTTCCTTTCGGTGTCTAAACTTCACTTTCAATTGTTCTAAGAGGTACTTCATTAGTTTTAAGCAATCTTTCCTATTGAATAAAAAAAGAAAACCACTTATTTTTATTTATTTACAACCTGCTTCATTCCACAAAAAGCTTTAGTCATCTTACAGGGAAAACATATGAAGATAAAATAAACAATACAGATATTATGTATAAAAATACAAAAAACAATAAAGACATAAATATAATTATAGGGTCATTCTAAACCTTGGTTATGTTTCGAAATATATGCTTTGAAGTTTCAAAAACATTTTTATTCTTCCCTCTTCCTTATTTTTAGCTTGAATATTCTATCAGGATGAATTTATGTATGAAACTGGCAGATATTCATGCTATTCATTCCGTTATTTAGCACCTAGAAAAATCTTGTTTTAACTTTTACAAAATGATTTTGTCTTACTAGGCTGCAAATATTTAATTACTCATCCAGTTATTTCGTAGTTGATAAGATGCAATTTTACAAAACTATTTAGTCTTATCAGAAACACAGTTTTCCTTCTTTTTTTTTTAAATTTTATTTATTTATTTGACAGACAGAGATCACAAGCAGGCACAGAGGCAGGCAGAGAGAGAGGAGGAAGCAGGCTCTCTGCTCAGCGGAAAGCCTGCTTCTCCTTCTCCCTTTGCCTGCCACTCCTCCTGCTTGTGCTCTCTGTCAAATAAATAAATACAATGTTTTTAAAAAAAAAAAAAAAACATCAGGGCACCTGGGTGGCTCAGCTGCTTGAGCGACTGCCTTCAGCTCAGATCATGATCCCAGAGTCTCAGGATTGAGTCACATATCTGGCTCCCTGCTCAGCAGCGAGTGTGCTTCTCCCTCTGACCTTCCCCCTCTCATGCTCACTCTCTCTCATTCTCTCCCTCTCAAATAGATAAATAAAATCTTTAAAAAATAAAAAAATAAATTAAAAAAAAAAAAAAAAAGAACCTCCCATGCCTGCCCGTTGGGCATTCTTGTTCTGACCTTTTAACTTCTGTGAACCTTCTACTGGACAACTTTAGAAACTCAAATGATTTCTTTTCAATCTCAGTTCTTTATGGTGTGTGTGCTAACAAGGAAAACAATTACCCACTCTTAGTGTTGTTTCACATTTAGCTAGTCAGTCTCTGGCCTTCAACACAAACCATCCAGAAGAAGGTACCAGTATCAATATCCAATAAGAATGATCTTTTGGCCTCCTCTGACTCTGACATTAATACTCATTACCTTGAAGCCACCAGAATACTAAGACACATCCAATTGTTGTGGCTAGCTGTGGTGAGTGATCATATCTTCTCACTTGGTCATACTTTATACAACTATCTGATCTAGCTTCAGGAATATGCTCTCTGGCCTTGCCTTCTAACAACACTATTTCCTCGGGCCCTTGGATTTGGCTTCCCTGGTTTCATGCTCATCTCCTAGATAATACTCCAGGATCAATCCAGCCACACACTGCCCCTAGGACTCAACTCAGCAATGATCATCTTTAGGTTAGAGCTATGAAATCAGTAAAGAATTAGATGTTCAGGGGTGCCTGGGTGTCTTAGTCAGTTAAGTGTCTGCCTTCAGCTCAGGTCCTGAGATCAAGCCCTGTGTCTGCTTCTCCCTCTCCTTCTGCTCCTCCCCCTTCTCGTGCTCTCCCTTTCAAATAAATAAATAAAATCTTTACTGTTTTATTTTTTAAAGATTTTATTTATGTATTTGACAGAAAGAGACACAGCGAGAGAGGGAACACAAGCAGGTGGAGTGGAAGAGGGAGAAGGAGGCTTCCCGCTGAGCAGGGATCCTGATGTGGGGCTCCATCAGCTGAAGGCAGATGCTTAACGACTGAGCCACCCAAGTGCCCCTAAATAAAATCTTTAAAAAAAAATGAAATTTTCCATAGATAATCTATAAAAAAACAAGGAAGTTACCTGCAACATTTTATTCCATCAGTTTCACAGCATGTTTTAGAATGTCCATGACTTTTCAAGAGGTCCTTTTCAATGTGAGAGAAGGAGAGCCTCCATGTTTCTTCTTAATTTCCAAAAGAAAAATAGAAAAGCACTTTAACAAAAACATTCATATATAAATATAACACAATGCTGAAGTGATTTCCTTCATTAAACTATCACTCTGGAAGAGTTCTAGGAAGAGACAGACCATAAGAAGCGAATAGAAAAACAATGTAATTACATATTAAAACAAGTGATTTGAGGGCGCCTGAGTAGCTGTTCTGTATGATTAGATATTTTTGTGATTTGTCCTGCATAACTGACCACCTGGACATGCATATACACAGGCAGGCTAAGGAATGTTGTTTGTGAGACTCGTGCTATGTGAATAACCTTGGGAGTCTGATTGTTTAAACCGTATTATCTGGCCTCCAGGTCAGAACCGGCCCTTCTGTTCTGGATGCCAGGAGCTACAAATCGTATCTCACATCCCCTCCTGCTCCAGGCTCGGCTGGCCCCCCAGAATGGAATCCAGGAAGGGAGGCAGATACACAGCCCAGGTTCCTTGAAAACATAGAAACATGATAACGTGGAAATGCACCTTGCTCCAAACTGCATGTAGGCGAACAAATGTTTCATTTCAAACCCTGTGATTTGCCCTATAATAATGGCCCTTATGGGGATGGTCAGTTGGAAGTCTCACCCGAGAGGAGGACCCTCCACCCAGGCCTCTCTATGGGGACCCCAGCCTGGCTGTTTCCATTGGGTTCCCCGGCTGATGAGGCTGAATGTTCAAAGTACTGGATTTGATGTAACTTTGCCTTATTTTCACTTATTGCCTACTATAAGCTTCATCTCTGTGTAGATTCCTTTCCTCTCCTGTTTCTGTTGTTTTCTGTAATAGATAGGTTTCTATTAGCTTTTTATAATAATAATAATAAAGTTTTCTTTCCTTTTTGGAACCAAAACACAGCAGTTGTGAATCTTTTGTGCAGAACAGTGGCTCAGTTAGTTAATGTGTCTGACTCATGATTTCAGCTCCGGTCATGATCTCCTGGGTTGTGGGATTGAGGCTCATATGGGCTCTGCACTCAGTGGGGAGTCTGCTTGAGGATCTCCTTCTGCCTCTCCCCCCACTCTCTCTCTCTAAAATAAATAAATTAATATTTAAAAAAATAAAATAAAACAAGTGATTTGAAGCAGACAGTGAGCTGAGATAGGAAAAAATGGTGGGGAGCAGCACGGAGCTTAATATAATTAGCCATAACAAGATATACTACTTTTATCCATCGTTAAGTTCAGTTTTTTTTAATATTCTGTTTCAATAATAATTTAAATCAATTGATTCACATTTTTTATTCATTTTTTATACCATACTTGCAAGTTTTTGTGTTCATGTAAAATGAACAAAGGCATGTTGCCTTTTTTCTATTCTTTGGGAGACTTTATATAAGAATAGAATGATTTCCAACCCTTCTCCCCAGATTTTACCATGGCTAACTCTTTTACATTCTGACTATTCTATTATTTGTTGGTTTTATACCAGAAATATATGATTGGTTTATAACTTTAAAATCAATCAATTTACTCTGTCTCATTAACAGAACAGAGGAAAAACATATGATCAGGAGCGCCTGGGTGGTTCAGTTGTTAAGCGTCTTCCTTCAGCTCAGGTCATGATCCCAGGGTCCTGGGATCGAGCCCCACATCAGGCTCCCTGCTCAGGGGAATCTGCTTCTCCCTCTCCCATTCCCCCTGCTGTGCTCTCTCTCTCTCTCTCTCTCTGTCAAATAAATAAATAAAATCTTTAAAAAAAAATATGATCACTTCACCTGAAGTAGGAAATGCAGCTAATAAAGCAACATTCATTCATAATTTAAATAAAAAACATCTCTTAGGGGCGCCTGAGCGGCTCAGTGGGTTAAAGCCTCTGCCTTCGGCTCAGGTCATGGTCCTGGGGCCCTGGGATCAAGCCCGCATCGGGCTCTCTGCTCAGCGGGGAGCCTGCTTCCTCCTCTCTCTGCCTGCTTCTCTGGCTACTTGAGAACCATTAAAAAAAAAAAAAAAAATTTTAAAAAAAAAAAAAAAATATATATATATATATATATAGCTTGTGAGGCCAGAAAAATTATAGTAAAATGTTTGGAAAGAAAAAAACTAAAATAGGTGTTAACGCATGCCTGCAATGTAGTGTCAGTATTTTCACTGTGAATATATCCCCTCTATTCAGTCATTTGGATACAGAGATTTGAGGGGAGGGGGGAGGGCTTTTGCCCGAATACAGATAACCTAGAATGATAAGAGGAGAACAGCCAAGGGTAACGAGAGTAACAAGAGAGCAAAGGTCACCTGAACACCCATCACCAGCCTCCACTTTGATCTTAACCCAAGGACAGGAAGAACTACCCAGTCACACGGGCCTTTGAACAGCCACAGTGCCTCTGAGGGCTCTCTCATCCCTAATCTGATTTGTCTCCCAGTCTTGCCCAGGGCAGTCAGTAGTAGGCCAGCAAGAGGGTGGTATGGGTCCTGTCAAGATTTCCACATCACATACAGAGAGAGTTTCTTGGGATAGCCGTTCTAGAAATTATTCAGGGGTGGCAACCCCTCTTTGCAGAAAGCTGTGTTCCTTTTCCAAAATTATGAATAATGATATCTGTAATTCCCTCTTAACAACTTTTCTTGCAGAAAATGACTCCTATATATGTGCAATGTAAAAAGTTATGATGTGTCTACAAACATAAGCCATCAAACTAAGCATGATTAACTAATTCCAGGATTTGTACAGCAATACTAATTTGTAACTTGGTTCCTACGTTTTGTGGTCTCCTCCAATATCCCTGGAATCCAGCGGTAGTAGGTACCAAAAGTCCTTAATTTATGAGAAAAATAAAATAATCACCTAAAATTATTTTAGCTGTTTTATCTGCAGACTAACTCAGAATTTGAATGTTACCTAAGAGCACCACCTGAAAATCCTGTCCTTACCCGCCAGGCAGAGTACACAGGTGAGAAGTCCAACTGCACCAGAGGCTGCAAAGGTCAGGTAGCTGCATGGAGTGCAGTGGAAGGGCAAGAAGGAAAGAAAGGTGTACGGCTGAGAATGAGAATCTAGGCTCTGATGAGAACATTAATTTTAACTGCCTTGGATTAAACTAGGGATTTTGCATTCGCTGTCTCATTTTTATCTTCCCAGAAGCTATTTTTGTCTTTTAAAAAAGAAATTTATTCATTTGAGGGGTGCCTGGGTGGCTCAGTGGGTTAAGCCTCTGCCTTCGGCTCAGGTCATGATCTCGGGGTCCTGGGATAGAGCTCCACGTCGGGCTCTCTGCTCAGCAGGGAGCCTGCTTCCCCCTATCCCTCTGCCTGCCTCTCTGCCTACTTGTGATCTCTGTCTCTCTCTCTCTCTCTCTCTCTTACAAATAAATAAATAAAATAAAATCTTTTTAAAAAATTTATTCATTTGAGAGAGAGAAAAAACGTGAGTGCAGTGACGGGGGCGGGGGAACAGAGGGAGAGAGAGAATCCTCAAGCGGATTCCCCACTGAACTTGACACAGTAGCCCAATCCCAGGATCCCGAGATCATGACGTGAGCTGAAGCCAAGAGTCAGCCACTTAACTGACTGAGCCACCCAGGCGTGCCCCCACCCCCAGAAACTTTCAAGTAGCTTTGATTAAACCAGTATAGAGATGAGCAAACAGATTTAGAGAGACTTGGTTAACTAGCCCCAGATCACACATCTAGTAGGAGAAGAAGCCTCAGGATTCAGACCCAGGGCAGTCTGACTCCAAGGCCAGTACTGCCCCTCTCTACTGAAAATAAACAAGCAAAACTAACACTCCAATGTGAGTTAGAAAACACTTTAAATCTGAGTATTTGATATTACTGCTACAACTATGCCTTTTTCAATTCCATTCCTCACCAAACTCCCATCTTACAGTCTGTTTAGCCTGATGGCTCTTGATATGTTGACAGCACTAATTACTGTCCTAGGATATAACATTAATAACCCTTGGGTGCCTGGCTAGCTCCACGGTTAGAGCATGTGATTCTGGATCTTCGGATAGTGAGTTCGAGCCCCAGATTGGGCATAGAGCTTACTTTATTTTTCTTAAAGATTTTATTTATGTATTTGAGAGAGAGAATATGATCAGGGGGAAGGGGAGAAGCAAAGGGACAATCAGACTTCCCACTGAGTGGGGAGACCTATGTGGGGCTTGATCCCAGGACCCTGGGATCATGACCAGAGCTGAAGGCAGACACTCAACTGAGTCTCCCAGGTATCCCCATAGAGCTTACTTAAAAAAAAAAAAAAAAAGAAAGAAAGAAAAAATGACAGACCCCTCTTTTTGTCTTTAAGTTAACCTTCACATTCAAGATACCTTGAAAACCATTTCCTTCCTTCGCATGCTTGGGTACCAGGTAAAACGGCTGTCGCCTTAAATTGGTTTTAACTTTTGTTCCAAGCCACTGACTGATGGGCAATCCTTCCTGGGTGCTAGCAGGCCAGCTGCTTTTTGACTCCAAAGCCAGGATTATATCCACAGATATTTCTTTGGGTTTTCTAATAAGAAGTGTTACAGCAGGGCTCCCCCTCTTCTTCTTCTCCATAATGACATCAATACCTGTTTAAAAGTATAAAAGGGGAAGACAGCAATTATCAATACAATTTTCTGCAAAAATAATATATCCGTCATTGGAGATCTATAAAGTGCTGAGTGTAAGGTGAAAATGAATTCTAAAGTAGAAACTGACCCCACAAAGCAAAGTGTTTTTCCCCATTTAAGCAATATTTATCCATACCTACCATAGAGAAGCATTGTCAAAATTCTGTCTGGAATAAATGATGAGGAGCGCCTGAAGATGTTGGGCTTTTGGAGTACTATGATAAAATTTTCACTTAAATGTATGGGGGGCAGTATGGAGGGAAGCCTGGAGAAAAGAGCAGATGAGTGGCAGGGAGGAGAAGGGCCATCGCAAAGACCACAGCAACTATCCAACACAGAGCGTGTGTATCTGTGACACCACAGAGGCAGGGGGCACGAAGACAAGGGAGCAATGCGTGTTCACTGCAGCATCATTCACAACAGCTAAGACATGGAACAACCTAAGTGTCAATGGATGGAAGAACAGATACAGGAATTGTGGTACATACACACAACGGACAGCATTCGGCCTTAATGAAGAAGATCCTGCCATTGGTGATGACAGGGTGATCTGGAGGCCATTACACTAAGTGAAACAAACTAGATGCAGAAAGGCAGATACTGCATGACCTCACTTTTATGTGGAATCTAAAAAAGCAGAATACATAGAAGCAGAGGGTAGGATGGTAGTTACCGGGGGTGGGGAGGTGGGGAAAATGGGGAGATATTAGTTACAGTTATGTAGGATGAGTAAGCATGATGACTGTCATTGATACGACTACACTAAATACTGGAAATGAGCTCAGAGGGTAGATTTTTAGGTCCTCTCACTTTAAATACAGCTGACGCCGGAACAACATGGGTTTGAAATACATAGGTTGGCTTAAATGAGTGTTTTTCTGGTAAATACAGTACAATCCTGTAAATGTATTTTCTCTTCCCTATGATTTTCTCTTTTTGAGTTTTTAAATTCCAGTTAGTTAACATACGATGTGATAGTTTCGGGTATACAACATAATGATTCAACACTTCCAAACATCACCCAGTGCTCATCATGACAAGTGCACTCCTTAATCCCATCACCTATTTATTTATTTATTTATTTGACAGAGATCACAAGTAAGCAGAGAGGCAGGCAGAGAGAGAGGAGGGGAAGCAGTCTCTCTGCTGAGCAGAGAGCCTGATGAGGGGCTCGATCCCAGAACCCTGGGATCATGACCTGAGCTGAAGGCAGAGGCTTTAACCCACCGAGCCACACAGGCGCCCCATCCCATCACCTATTTAATCCATCCCCTCCCCCCTCTCTTCTGGTAACCATCAGTTTGTTCTCTGTAGCTAAGGGTCTGTTTCTTTTTGTTCCTTTGCTTCTTGCTTTGTTCCTTAAATTCCACACATGAGTGTGATCAGATGATATTTGTCTTTCTCTGACCAACTTATTTCACTTAGCATCATACTCTCCAGCTCAATCCATATGATTGCAAATGGCAAGATGTCATTCTTTTTTCATGGCTAAATAATATTTCATTGTAGATATACATATACCACATCTTTATCCATTCATCAAGCAATAGACACTTGGGCAGCTTCCATATCTTGGCTATCGTAAATAATACTTCTATAAATATAGGGGTGCATGTATCCCTTTGAATTAGTGTTCTTGTATTCTTTGGGTAAATACCCAGTACTGTGATTACTGGATTATAGGGTAGTTATATTTTTAACTTTTTGATGAACCTCCATAATGTTTTCCAGAGTGGCTGCCCCAGTTTGTATTCCCATCAATAAAGCACTAAAGTTCCTTTATCTACACATCCTTGCCAACACTTGTTGTTTCTTGTGTTTTTTATTTTGGCCATTCTGACAGCTGTGAGGTAATATCCTATTGTAGTTTTGATTTGCATTTCTCTGATGTTGTCATGATAAACACCTTTTCATGTATCTCTTGGCCATCTGCATGTCTTCTTTGGAGAAATGTCTGTTCATGTCTTAATTGGATTATTTGTCTTTTTTGGTGTTGACTTTAATAAGTACTTTGTATATTTTGGATACTAACCTTTATTGGATATATCATTTGCGAATCTCTTCTCCCATTCTGTAGGTTGCCTTTTATTTTATTTTAATTAATTAATTTAAAGATTTTGTTTATTTATTTGACACAGAGAGAGAAAAAGAGCACAAGCAGGGAGAATGGAAGAGGGAAAAGAAGGCTCCGCGGTGAGCAGGGAGCCCAATGCAGGACTCTATCTCAGGACCCCAAGATCATGACCTGAGAAGAAGACAGTCGCTTAACCAACTGAGCCACCCAGATACCCCATAGGTTGCCTTTTAGTTCTGTTGATTGTATCTTTTGCTGTGCAGAGACTTTTTATTTTGACGTAGACATTCCTTATGATTTTCTTAACATTTTTTCTCTAATTTACTTTATTATAAGAATATAATATATACTACATATAACATACAAAATACATGTTAATCAGCTGTTTATGTTATTAATAGGGCTTCCAGTCAACAGGAGGCTCTTGGTGGTTAAGTTCTGTTAAGTTATACACAGATTTTTGACTATGCAGGGAGTTTGGTGGCCCTAACTGTCCTGTTGTTCAAGGATCAACAGTACAGTTTTTGTTTTTTTAAAAAAGACAGAAGTGGGGATGCCTGGGTGGCTCAGTTGGTTAAGCCGCTGCCTTCAGCTCAGGTCATGATCCCAGGGTTCTGGGATGGAGTCCTGCATAGGGTTCCTTGCTCCGCAGGGAGCCTACTTCTCTCTCTGCCTCTGCCTGCCACTCTGCCTGCTTGTGCACTCACTCTCTCTCTCTCTCTCTGACAAATAATAATATCTTACAAATCTGACATTTGTAAGATATCTTACAAATATCTGACAAATAAATAAAATCTTAAAAAAAAAAAAAGACACAAGTAGCAGAAATGAGAGCAATTAGGTTTAAATCAGGGCGTCTGAGTGGCTTAGTCGTTAAGCGTCTGCCTTAGGCTCAGGTCCTGATCTCAGGGTCCTGGGATCGAGCCCCACATCAGACTCTCTGCTTGGCGGGAGGCCTGTTTCTCCCTCTCTCTCTGCTTGTGTTCCCTCTCTTGCTGTGTCTCTCTCTGTCAAGTAAATAAATAAAATCTTTAAAAATAAATAAATAAAAATAAAGGGGTTTAAATAAACAAAACTGGTAGATGGACTGAATCAGTAAGGTAAGAAAGAAGGTAGAAGTCTAGAATGTAATCCCAGGATTTTGGCCTGGAAAATGGTTGACGTTGATTTGATTCTTCAATACGGAACAATCAAAAGGAAGAAATATGGGGCTGAGTTGCACTTGGTTTTAGACACACTGAGCTATAGGTGTGTGGAAAACCCCCAAGTAAAGATGGCCATATGACAGGTGGCTGTGGTGGTCAGAAATTCAGGAAAACCTCTAGATGAGAGATACTGGCTTTGGGATTGGGAGGTATACAAGCAGTAGTTAAAGACTACTCTTAGACAAGACTTCTGGAAGGGACCACAGTGAGAGAAAAGCTAGAGAAACAAGGAGAAAACTCTAGAGAAGGCCTTCAATTTTCTTATTACTAAATCTGCAAAATCCACTTCTTACCCATGATATCCTTCTACTCTCCTATTCCTACTAAGAAGTGTCCATCTACCTTTCAAAGGCCACCCTTGCACAAAGGCCACCCCTTCCATCCTAAGCACCTTGTTTCTTCAATTGTTCCCTCTCTCCTCATCAGGGGCTGCCCCCTCCCTACCGGATCATTCCTATCTATATACGAAGGGTTCCAGTATTTCTCATTCTCAAATATTCCTCTCTCTTGACTCCACCCTGCCTCTTCCCCACACTTAAACCCACCTTTCTGTGCCCTTTACAGCAGAGACTTTGTAAGGATATGCCTACACATGCTGTCTGTACAGGACTCCACTGGAACTGTTAAGTCAAAGGCACCAACAAACTCCACAAAACTATAGACCAAGTCCTATGGTTTCTGGAAGTCAGTAGCATTCTACACCCTGACCCCTCATTCTGCAAAATCACATAGTCTCCTTAGGCTTCTTCTCTTCTTCCCAACCTCTAATGGGATCCTCCTCCTCTTACCACTCTACTTAACACTGTAGCTCCCCCTCCCCCATCATACCCCCAACACTCCTGGTCCCTCTCACTTTGCTATACTTTTTCATCATAAAACTTACTATTTTCTAGTATATAAGATAATTATGGTTTCCATTCATTATTAATTGTATGTCTGCCCTTACCTAACCATGAGGTACAGAAGGGTGAGGGTCTTCATCTCTTTGTTCATTACTGTATCCCAAACACCTAGACCATCTGGCACATTAGAGGATCGGAGGATACTGATTCATGAATAAACGAATCAATGCTCTCTGCCTACATGGTCTCATCTATGGCCAATGCCATTTATATGTTCACATACAGCCCAAACATATCCTCTGCACTTCAAACCCATATCCAATTACATACGTGACATTCTCACTTCAGTGTATCACAGGAATCTCCAACTTAATATATCCAAAGCCAAACTCCTTTAATTCATACCTCAAGATATGTTCCTCTTCAGTCCTTCCCATCTTAGAAAATGGTACAATCAATCCACACAGGCGCTCAGTCAGAAAGCTGGAGGCCTTCTTTAATTCAATCCTTTCTCTCAACCCCTACACTTACTCCAGAAGGAAGCACTACGACAAGCTTGGATGTGTCTGCTTCTCTCCATCCCATCCTCCATGTAAGCCACCACTATCTTTCACCTGAATTACTTCAATATTTTCCTTTTTCTTTCCTTTTCCTTATTTGTCTTTTTAGAATATCTTCTCCAGAGAAGCCAGAGTAAACTTTTAAAAATACAAAGCCAGGGGCGCCTGGGTGGCTCAGTGGGTTAAAGCTCTGCCTTTGGCTCAGGCCATGATCCCAGAGTCCTGGGATCGAGCCCCACATTGGGCCCTCTGCTCAGTGGGGAGCCTGCTTCCCCCCTCTCTCTGCCTGCCTCTCTGCCTACTTGTGATCTCTGTCTGTCAAATAAATAAATAAAATCTTAAAAAAATATATAAAGCCAATCATTATTCCTTCATTAAAACCTGAATGAACATGAAATCATCTGAATTCATTTCCAGGATCTACAAGTCCTTGGACAATCTAGCCCCTGGCCACCTCTTCAACTTCATTTCGTGTCACTCTTCCCCTTGTCCACACAGGCCTCTTTTTGTTCCTTGAGCTTGCTGTTTTCTGCCTTGGGGTCTTACTCCACCCCAATTGCCACTATTTCCCCTAGTTCATTCCCTTCAGAGCACTCGGTGCAATTTGTGTTTACAAGCTTCAAGAGGTGAACCCGGGGATTTTATGCAACCACATGTATCCAGAGGCATGAGGCAGCTGTCCAGTGAATAGTCAGTGGAGAACAAAATAGAACTAATCAATGTTTAGAAAGAATGTCAAGAAAATGTAGTAAACTAAAATCAAGAGCAAAGAGTTGTTTCTAGGAGGTACTGATCAACAGTCTGCTGCAGAGAGGTCAAGAGAGATCAGCAGAGGATGCTTTTGTAGTTCATAAGTGTGATGATTGGGTGCTCACACTGTTATGTGATATATGTCTCCCTCAAACCTTGTTATGACCGGGGCACTTTAACTGCTTGATGTGGAAAAAAAAAAAAAAGTCAGTAGAGGAGTGTACATTGGCAATTAGTAGGTATGATTAAAACTTCAAGAATCAGGGCCCCTGGGTGGCTCAGTTGGTTGGGCGGCTGCCTTCGGCTCAGGTCATAATCCTAGAGACTCAGGATCGAGTCCCACATCGGGTTCCCTGCTCAGTGGGGAGTCTACTTCTCCCTCTGATCCTCCCCCTTCTCATGCTCTTTCTCCCATTCTGTCTCTTTCAAATAAATAAAATCTTAAAAAAAAAAAAGAACTTCAAGAATCAAAAGTCAAAAATCTTACCTTGAATGTTTTTAATTTCTTCCTTAATGATCTTCCTAAACTTGAACAGCATCTTAGAAGCTGATAATATTTCATCTTCTACAAACTGAATCAGAGGATTTCCTTTAGGATTTCTTTTGAACTTCACAAAGTAATAAGCACCACTGTTGCAATATTCTTCTAGCTGAATTCTGGGGACCTCCAGTTTGAACATTATATCAAATTCATTAGGAGCAGAAATCTAAGAAATAGTAAAAATAACACTGAAATGTTGTTTTGTGAATATTTTCCAAGCAACTGCAATTTTTTCTTGAAATGTCCACTTAACACACTACTTTGAAAAGCAAGATTCCTAAGATTCATACCCTCTGGAAGTGGGATGAGTGAAACTAGGAGAGGATTATTGTTTTTGTTTGTAGGTTCCATACCTTTTTTTAACCAAGAGTATGCATTATTTTTATAATTTAGAATAATTTTAAATTGTATCATGCAAGCTTTTAAAATCTGTACCAGCTTTTTCTGAATTAAAAACTTAAAATGAAAAACCTATAAGGTGCTATCTTTTATGTCACAAGATACATGCTACAGCCACACTCCTGTCACAATGGTCTAAAAAAACGTGTGTAGCCCTGTGCTGGCTAGTTGAGCAAAGGCCATCTTGTTAGAGCTGTTGGTCACCCAAGTAACTGTGAGTGCCAAGTCATGCTCTACATTAATGTCTTTGAACCACAGCATTTTAGGAGCTTCAAAGAATCATTTTCATCCTCACAATAATAATCTATGAATCAGCAATGATGTCAAATGATTATTTTTCCTGTAGTAAAAATACCACAAATCTCTCATTAGTCAAGAGCATGCTTCAAGCACAGCTATTGGACTGTACTGCTCAACAGGGTACCTAGTAGCCATATATGTCTACTGACCATATGAAATGGGGCTAGTCCAGATCGAGATGTACTGTGTTGTATATTCAATCATGTCCTCCCCAAACTCATATATTGAAGTCCTAACCCCAAAAGTGACTGTACTTCAAGACAGCGTTTTTAGACGGTTAAATGAGATCATGAGGGTACAGTGCTAATCTGATAACACTGGTAGGAGGAGAAGGAGGTGGTGGAAGAGGAAAAAGAGAGGAAGAAAGATCCCTTTCTCTCTGCCCACATGCACTGAGGAGTAAAGTGAGGATACAGGGAGCAGGTGGCTGTCTACAAGCAACGAAGAGAGTCCTCATCTAAACCTAACCATGCTTGCACTATGATCTTTGACTTCCAGCCTCCACAACTCTCAGAAAATAATCTTATGTTGTTTAAGCCACGCGGTTTATAGTGTTTTTGTAATGGCAGCCTGAACTGACTAGAGTGTTCTATGAGAGTCAAACACTTGGGAGTGACGTCAGTGAGAATGAAGTAAGAGCCTGCGAAAATCCACTCTTCCATAAAAGCAACAAGAACACGGGCCAGATTAGTCAGTTCAACTTTTTCAGATCTGTATATTAACCAGGAGTTTGCAACAATCCAAGGAGGATTTGTTCCAGAAAAATGGCTGAATCTCAATAGGGACTGGGAGCTCTGTGGGCGCTGCCCTATTCTCACCCCCAGAGCACAGAAGGTTCTCATTCCCATTCCCTCTCAGAAACCTCCACCGAGAGTCCCTACTGTTCTAACACCATAAATTCGGCCACCTGTTTGGAAGCACCATATAAACAGAATCATATAAAATGTACTCTATTACAACTGACTCCTTTTAACGTTACATTTATGAGATTCACCCATACTGTTACATGTGTTGGTATTTGTTCTTTTTCATCTTATGCAGTATACTACTGGATTAGTGGAATATATCAAAATACATTTGCTTATTCTGTCTTTGAGTATTTGGATTATTTCCAGTTTTGAACTATTACAAAGCTGTTCTGAGCACTCTTACATATGCCTTTTGGTGGACATGAGCACTCATTTCCACTGTGTATATATCTAGGAGTAGAACTGCTGGACCATAGGATAAGCGTTATCTTTAGCCTTAGACCAAAGTGTCAATGTTCCAAAGAGGTTATACCAACCTATCTTCTCTTCATCAAGGCAAAGCAGTTTCAGTTGCTCCACATCTTCTAAGATGGAACTATCAAGCCTTTTAAAATTTTAGCCATTCTAGTGGATAGATGTGTAACAGAATCTCATCATGATTTTAATTTACATTTTCTGGCTGATTAATGATGTTGAACACGTTTATTGTTATTTGGATTATATACTAAAGCATCTATTCAAGTGCTTTTGCCCAATTTTAAATTGGTTTGTCTTTTTCTTATTGATTTGTACTAGTCCTCTGTCAAATATACATATTGAAAGTAACTTCTTTGAGTTTGTGGCTTGCATTTTCATTCTCTCAATGGTGAGAAGCTCAATTCTAATGAAGTCCATTTTATCTATTTTTATGGTTAGCAATTTTAGTGTCCTATTTAAGAAATATTTGTACATCCCATTGTTATGATGATAGTCTTCTATGCTTTCGTCTAGAAGCTTTGTTGTTTCCTCCTTTATCTTTAGGTTTATTTTATATCTTGAATTAACTTTTGTATATGATGTGTGGGGTTGGTGGCTGTCATGGATATCCAATTGACCCAGTATCAACTATTGAAAAAACCATCCTTTCTCCCATTGAACTACACTATTGCATATATTTTGTACTGAATTGAATTATATACGCAGGTCTGTCTGTGGACTTTCTACTCAATTAGCCTATTTGTCTATCATTGCACCAATAATATCTGCTTAATTAGGGTATTTTTATAGTAAGTCTTGCTCTTTGATAGGGTAAATCCTCTAACATTTTCTCCTTTAGATGTGCCTGGATTGGGGTACCTGGGTGGCTTGGTTGGTTGGACGTCTGCCTTCGGCTCGGGTCATGATCTCGGGGTCCTGGGATCAAGGCCCATGTGGGGCTCCCTGCTCTGGGACAGCCTGCTTCTCCCTCTCCCTCTGCCCTTCCTCACCCCCGTGTTCTCTCTCTCTCTCTCTCTCTCTCTCTCTCTCTGCTTTGTCTCTCTCAAAAAAATAAAATCTTTAAAAAAAAAAAAGAAAAAAGAATTGCCTGGGTTATTCTAGGTCCTCTGCATTTCTTTTATTTTCATTTCATTTCATTTCATTTTTTTTAAGTAGTCTCCATGCCCAGCGTGGAGCCCAACATGGTACTTAAACTCAAGACCCTGAGATCAAGACCAGAGCTGAGTCAGGAAATCAGATGCTTAACTGTCTGAGCCACCCAGGCACACCCCCACCTTTGCATTTTCATATATGTCTTATAATAAGCTTGTCAATTTAATCAAAAAAATTGATAGGGCTTTGACTAAATTGCACTGAATCTATATAGATCAATTTGAGGAAAACAGAACATGATATAGATTTCCATTTATTTAGTCTGTTTTCAAATTTACTCAGCAATATTTTAAAATTTTTATCATCTTTAGCAAGATTTATTCCTAAATATTTGATGATCTTGATGCTATCATAAATGGCATTTTTACATTTCATTTACACTCTTTTTGTTGTTAATATATTGAGGTACTTTGATTTTTGTTTACTGACTTTGTATCCAGCAATCCTGCTAAATTCACTGATAACAGTTGAACAACACAGATTTGAATTGGGCAGGTCCATTTATACATGGTTGTTGTTTTGTTTTTTTTTTAAACAGTACAGTATTATAAATGTATTGTGTCTTCCTTAGGATTTTCTTAGTAACATTTTCTCTTCTCTTCTTACTTTATTGTAAAATACAATATAAAATACATATAATGAACAAAGTATGTGTTACTCTTACTGTTCATCAAAAAGTCAAAACTAGGCTCTTAGTAGTTAAGGTTTTGGGGAGTCAAAAGTTATATGCAGCTGCACCTGGGTGGCTCAGTCGGTTAAGTGTCTTCATTCGGCTGGGGTCATAATCTCAGGGTCCTGGGATTGAGCCCCACGTGGGGCTCCCTGCTCAGCAGGGAACCTGCTTCTTCCCCTCCCTCTACCTACTGATTTTCCTGCTTGCGTGTGCTCTCTCTGACAAATAAATTTTTAAAAAATTTAAAAAATAAAAAAATTTTTTTAAGTTATATGCAGATTTTTGACTACATGGATGGGGAAGGGTTGATGCCCCTAGGCCCTGTATTGTTCAAAGGCCAACTGTATTTCTAATAGTTTGTACAAAAATTCAATCAAGTCATCTGCATAAATAAGTTTTATTATTCTTTTTCTGATCTTACGTATTTTGCTTCTTTTTCCTGCCTTGTTTACATGAGTTCTATGTATTCCTTTACCTTCTCCTTTTTTGTTCAACATTATGACAAGATTCATTCACATTGTTGCATGTGGCTGTAGTTCTTCTCTTTACTGGTTAATGTACTACTGGCTAGAACCACTACAATTACTTGATTTCTATATAGCCTTATACTCAGCCCAAAGTTATGATTGGTAAATTGCAAAAAGAAAAAGAGAACATTATAAAGTGGCAATTATCCAGAGAATTTCTATATAAGTTTTCCAAATTTTCACCTAAAACTTGACAATATTACAATAAAATACATGAATAAAAATGTGTCAATATGGAACCAAGTAAATAAATTACTGAGAGGTGTGTCTATTTTTTATCAGTTACAAAGAGTTTGGAATCTAGCTTTGAAATCCAAGTGGATGCATAACAGAAGAAAATACACCAAAAAGATAACAGTGAATATAATGAACAGGAATAATATTGCTCTTCTTTATGCTTTTCCTAACTTTCCAGGGACATCAACATGGAAAAGGGGTGACTATGGGAAAGGCTGAGAAAAGTGGTAGTGGGCAGGAAGCTGTGGGAGCCTGCCAGAGGATTAACTGCTAGAGCCAGGCAATGAATCAACTCTGATGAAAATGTATCAGTTTTGGGGGCACCTGGGTGGCTCAGTGGGTTAAAGCCTCTGCCTTCAGCTCAGGTCATGATCCCAGGGTCCTGGGATTGAACCCCGCATGGGGCTTTCTGCTCAACAGAGAGCCTGCTTCAGAGAACCTGCATCCTCCTCTCTCTCTCTGCCTGCCTCTGTGCCTACTTGTGATCTCTGTCTGTTAAATAAATAAGTAAAATCTTTAAAAGAAAGAAAATGTATCAGTTTTAAAAATCAATACATGTTTTAGGAAAACAAATTTCATTCGATTTCTTCCACCAGTGTATGATTTTAAAATGGAGTGGCACCTGGCTAGCTCTGTCAGAAGAGCACATGACTCTTCATCTCAGGTTGTAATCCTCAGGTTGTAATTCAAGCCGCACTTTGGTTGTGGAGATTACTTTTAGAAATTGAATTTTTAAAAAAATAAAAATAAAAAGGAGACAGGTTCTTGGACAGCTGGCCTGGCTCAGTCGGTAGAGTATGTCCCACTCTTTATCTCAGGGTCCTGAGTTCAAGACCCACTTTGGATATGGAGTTTACGTTAAAGAAAAAAAAAAAAAAAGGAGACTGGTTCTGACTGGAAACTTCTTTAAACATCTTATTGTTCCTGCCATATGACTGAACTGAATGATATTTATGTAATAAGAATCACACTTAAGCCAAACAATCTAGTGAAAATTTTGCTCATTTGGCTACCAAAACGCTTTAGATGGAATTATATAGTCTTCAGTGCTAAAAGAGTTTTAAGATTCAAAGACTGATACATACACGGTCTTTCTGGCAGTAAACAAATATCACTGGGTCCACACCAATGAAATGGGCAGCTGTTTAGGCTACAATTTATGTAAAACATTCTGTGGCAATGGAGTTTACAATCCAGGTAGCAAGCCAAAAGAAAAATATATGAAAGGTTTAATTTCCACTGAAATCTACCAGGTTAAATGCTTATCGTGGGAATGAAGTCTGAATCTGCTACCCTGAGAAGACAGAGGTCTTGAGAGAAACCACCCATCCTTTCTTCTAGAGCACGTTCATTCATTCGTTTGAATACTTACTATGTGTTAAGGCTTAGAAACACAAAGATGCAAAATATTTGGCCTGCTATCAGGAGTTTATAATTCTAAAAACCTAAATCTAGAGTTTAATAATCATTTACTTCTGAAGGAGAGAAGTTAATTGAATAAAGCCAATAGGTAACTATAAAATAAATTACGGTCACCTAAATGCTATCAGCCTCTATTTCCTTCATGCTATACCCAAGATTTTAACAGATCTCCTGCAGGTGCACAGCCCGGCCCTGAAAAAACAGACTAGGTGAGGGGCGCCTAGGTGGCTCAGTGGGTTAAGCCTCTGCCTTCCACTCAGGTCATGATCCCAGGGTTCTGGGATCGAGCCCCACATCGGGCTCTCTGCTCAGCAGTGAGCCTGCTTCCCCCTCTCTCTGCCTGCCTCTCTGTCTACTTGTGATCTCTCTCTCTCTCTCTGTCAAATAAATAAATAAAATTAAAAAAAAAAAAAACAAAAAACGGACTAGGTGAGAACACAACTAAAGAAACTGCCACTAGGGGCGCCCGGGGGGCTCAGATGATTAAACGTCTGTCTTCACCTCAGATCGAGATCTCAGAGCCCTGGGATCCAGCGAGCTCCCTGTTCCGAGGGAATTCTGCTTCTCCCTCCTCCCACTCCCTCACCCCTGATTGTGCGTGCTCATTTCTCTCTCTCTCTCGCTCACACACACAAATAAAGTCTTAACAAAACAAACAAACAAGAACAACAACAACAACAAAAACAACCATCACTGGTCAGGAAAGATTCTCTAGTCAGAAATCTGCTCCTAAATCTTCAACGCCTACTGGCATGAAGACTTTAATAACTCAGCCACACACAAACAAAGGGAACCGTGGAATACATACCCTGAAACAATCACGCTGTATGTGTATTTAGGAGGTACACTTTTTAGGGTCTGTAGGAGATCTTTTTCTTAAAAAAAAATTTTTTTTAATCACTCACTGTGAGGTTCCCATGACATTGGCATAAGAAAACTGGGGAGAGGGGAAGTCCGCAGCGGCTGGGGGACTGACTGAAGATATTCTTCCTATAGTTTTTCCCATAGGAAAAATGCTCCTAGATATACCAATTTTGTGTAATTTTTCGCACTCCTAATTATCCAAGTCGGAATTTGACTAGGGCACACCAAGCAGGGCCCTGTTACAGAAACTCCATACAATCTGCTTGCATGAATGAATCTATACATTGGAATTTCCCAACAGTAATGTCTTGACAGTAGTTGGCACCAATGTTGGTTAGCTGTACGTTCGCTGAATGTACAGATAGGTAAACGAACAGCTGTTCTTCTCTTTGGCTGGAACTGAGTCACAGGCCACAAAAGAACGAGAGTCTGAGTTACTTTCGAAGGGAAGTGAGGGACCGCGCGACCCGCCGGTGTTGGGACTATCGGGCAGGCTGGGGACGGGGGCGAGGGAGTCGGCGGGAGGAGAGGCGCTGGGCAGCTCACCTTCACGCGCTCGTAGTAGCTTCCGGTGCACAGTCGCGAGACACCCTGGAACTCGGACTCGCAGCTCTGCAATCTCCGCAGCAGGTGGTCCACAACCCGGTTCACAATCTCCGCCGCCACTGAGATTTCCTGGCGCCTCAGCTTCAACTTTTCCAGCACCGTTCGGGGCTTCCAGGCGCCGGGGCGCTGCCTGAGTCTCGAGGCGGGAACCAGGGGGCCGAGGCCGAGGCGGAGGTCGAGGCCGAGGTCGAGGCCGGAGACCTCCGTGGGCTCTGGCAGGGTTCTCTGCTCCCGAGGGGCGCGCGCGCCCCTCTCGCGGCAAGATCCAGTCCTGGGAAGGGGCGGCCCCGGGGCCGCAGGAGGCGCCAGCTTCCCCGCCGGAACCGCCAGCCCCTCCACCGCGTCCTCAGAACCCAGAGGCGCCTTTTTGGCACAGGCATTCCGCGCGCGCACCGGTGGTCTCTCGGGAGAGCCCGGGGCACGCTTCTTCCTCCCGGATCCAGGGGCCCCGACCCGGCCGCACATCTGTGCTTTGGGCCGGGCTGCCCCAAGCGCGGCGGGAGGTTCGCTGGGCTCCGTCCCGGTACCCTTCATTCCTTGCGCCTTGGGCGCGGCGGCTCCGGCCTTCGAAGCTGTCCGCGTGGCCTTTCCGCGCCGGGGGTCCATGGCTGGCGCTCTCTGTTCCCCGAAAGCACCGAGACTTAGCCTCGGGAAAGGCCACGGGAGGAGGAGCCGGCAGTCGCAGCGGGAAATGAAACTTAAATAACTGGCGGGAACGCAGGGACCGCGGCCTGAGAGCAGGCGCCCAAACTGAACGCTGGGAGGTCACGGGGAGCCGGGCCAGGCCACCAAGGGGGCGGGCCGCCCACGGTGCCGGGAGAGATGCTAAGTTCCTCACCCTCCATTGCTCGCGAGTCGCTGGGTCGGGAAGCACACTGAACGCAACCAGAGGGTCTCAGAAAACACCCTCAAGGTGCTTTGAAAGCTTGACAGATTTGCTGGCATTAGGCCTAAAAGAATTTGGGGAAACTAGAGAGCTTCTCCCACATTGAAGTCAACGGAGAAACTTTTTCTTTTTTTAAGATTTTATTTATTTATTTGAGAGAGAGAGAGAGAGAGAAGGAGCAGGGGGAGGGGCAGAGGGAGAGGGAGAAGCGGACTCCCTGCTGAGCAGGGACACCCCAACCCTCACCCCCACCCCCACCCCCAAGCCTCCGCCATGCAAGGCTCAACCCCAGGACCCTGAGACCATTACCTGAGCCTAAGGCAAATGTTTAACTGGCTGAGCGACACAGGCACCCTGATAGAGAAACTTTTTCAGTGTGAGTTTCAGTAAGGGTACTTTTTAAATTAATGAAATAGAAAATGTCCAACTTTTACAAAATGGAAATGAAATGAGGAGTGACTGCAATTGGAATAAATATTTCATTTTATTTGCCTTTGTAAAAGCAATAGAGTCTTAAATTGTGTCCAAGTTCTATTTTTTTTTTTTTTAAGATTCAAAAAAAATTATACTTATTTGTCAGAGAGAGAGAAAGATAGAGCTCACAAGCAGGGGAGCAGCAGGCAGAGGGAGAGGCAGGCTCCTTGCTCAGCAGGGAGTCCAGTGGGGGACTCAGTACCAGGAACCTGGAATCATGACCTGAGCCAAAGGCAGAAGCCACCCAGGCTTCCCTGTGTAGAAGTTCTTATTTGTTAGTTTTAGCCATTGGTTCTCAAAAGCCCATCCAAAAATGGCACTTACGTTTTAAATAATTCATGCTGTTTTGGCCCTTGCGATACAGAGTTCTCCACATAGGCTTTCAAATATCTATTTCTAAACCAATCCCTTTATAGAAATACATATTAGAAAACCCCTGGCTTTAGAAGAGTTTGATTACTTTTTTTTTTTTTAAGATTTTATTTATTTATCTGACAGAGAGATCACAAGCAGGCAGAGAGGCAGGCAGAGAGAGGAGGAGGCAGGCTCCCTGCCGAGCAGAGAGCGCGATGCGGGGCTCGATTCCAGGATCCTGAGATCATGACCTGAGCCAAAGGCAGCGGCCTAACCCACTGAGCCACCCAGGCGCCCCTGATTACTTTTTTAAAAAATCATCCTAACCATTTTTACGTGTACAATTCAGTGACATTAAATATATTAATATTGTTATGCAACCCATCACTACCATCCATCTCCCCAACTCTTCACTTTGTAAAACTGAAACTCTACCCATTAAACAATAACTCCCCATTCCTGCCCTCTCCCTTGGCAACCACCTGCTACTTTCTGTCTCTATGAATCTGACTTCTCTAGGTACCTCATGTAAGTGGAATCATACAGTATTTGTCCTTTTGTGACTGGCTTATTTCTCTTAAGATAATGTCCTCAGGGTTTATCCATATTGTAGCATATGTCAGCCTTTTTTTTTTTTTTTAAGATTTATTTATTTGTTAGAGAGAGAGAAAACATGGGGGTGGAGTTGGGCAGGGGATGGGAGAGAGAGAGAGAATCCTCAAGCCAACTCCTCAGTAAGTGCTGAGCCCGTCTTAGGGATTAATCCCAAGATCCTGAGATCATGATTTGAGCTAAAATCAAGAGTCAGCTGTCCAAATGACTGAGCCACCCAGGCGCCATCAGCCTTCCTTTTTAAGACTAGATATTTCTACTGAAAGTATATAGGACATTTTAACAGCCATTACTCTGTCAATGGACAACATGCCTTGATTACTCTTTTAAAAAGGTTTTCTTAAAACCAATATTTTGATATATCCTCTTTGATACAAAGGTGTTTTTAGTTTGGTTGGTTGGTTGGTTTGGTTTGTTTTTGGTGTTTGTTTTTTTTAAACACCCCAGGGCAATGAGCCCTAGTTCGGAATGTGATGTGAGAAATCTGTATTTTTCTTTTGTAAAATGGAAGGAGGACTATTGTGTAGTCAGGCTTGTTCTCAAGCAAACCAATCTCAGGGAAAAGTAGATACAAAGGAAAAGGGTAGAACCCAAGGGTAGACTGTGCCTAGTTGTTCAAACAACAGCACGTGTGGCTGGAGCTTGTGAAGTTTGAAATGTGTCCGTTATCAACTTATTGCTTCTCAGACAAGGACTTAGTACACCCCTTGGTAAGTGCTGTCTGATAAAAAACAGAATTCCTTTAAGCAGTTCTCTTTTAAAGTGCCCACTATGTTAACCTTTCTCAGTAGAGGTTATAGGAGGACACTGTAGGAAGAAGAGGTTTCCTGCCAATTTCCAACATACTGGAGAGAGTGGAAGGGAACTGCAGGGCAAAGGTCAGACTTGTAGGTGTGAGAATATCTGGTAGGGCCTACCCCAGCTATAGGCCCAGAAAGTGATCCCTCTGAGAACTTGCCACCTTGGCCCAGCCATAACCCATCCACAACTTACTAGACAGGGAAACCAAGATTCCTGCCTGGCCTGTGGTCCAGAAGGTCACACACCAAGAAGCTGATCCTTCTACAAGCCGTGCATGCAGCCTGCCTATGGCCAAGGAGGTCCACAGAGAGCAGCTGCTCTTTCTGCAAGCCCCCTATGTTATGTAGCCCATACTCTCTGAAGGCCTTCTGCACTTGAGATCTGAACCCCTTTTGAATTCATTCTTACTTGGGTACTCTCTCTCAGCCCTAGCGTACCATATATAGTTTCTTTATATGTCATTTCTTTTATTATAGGTATTCTTCTTTATTTTAGAGTGAAATAATTAAGTAACCTCTACCCCCAGTGTGGGGCTTGAACTCACAACCCCAGATCAAGAGTTGCAGGCTCTACCAACTAAGCCAGCCAGATACCTCAATATGGTTAATTATTCTTACATTAACTACTATGATGTAATACTCTTTTTAAAATATTTTATTTATTTATTTGAGAGAGAAAGAAAGCATGAGATGGGCAAAGGTCAGAGGGAGAAGCAGACTCCCTGCTGAGTGGGGAGCCCATGTGGGACTTGATTCTGTGACTCTGAGATCATGACCTGAGGTTAAGGCAGACCCTTAACTGACTGAGCCACCCAGGTGCCCTATTATATGATTCCAACTTTTGACTGGACCCAAACTGCTACAGAGTTAGTATTGGGGGTGGTCCCAGGAGATAGAGGCCTAAAGATGGGATTTGGGAATTGGTTTTGTTATGCCCTTGGGTTTGAGCTCAGTGTTTAAGGAGGAGGCACCAGAAAAATGACTGAGAAGGAATAGCCAGGAAAAATAGGAGGAAAACCAATTCTGGTTTTCCAGAATCCATTAGCTTGATGTCTTGGATGTGACTGTGAGGGGCGCCTGGGTGGCTCAGGTCATGATCTCAGGGTCCTGGGATCAAGCCCCCTATTGGGCTCTCTGCTCAACGGGGAGCCTGCTTCCCCCTCTCTTTCTCTGCCTGCCCCTCTGCCTCCTTGTGATCTCTCTCTCTCTCTCTCTGTCAGATAAATAAATAGAATCTTTATTTTTTTAAAGAGTTTATTTATTTATTTGACAGACAGAGATCACAAATAGTCAGAGAGGCAAGCAGAGAGTGAGAGGGAAGCAGGCTCCCTGCTGAGCGGAGAGCCCAATGCAGGGGTTTGATCCCAGGACCCTGGGATCATGACCTGAGCGGAAGGCATAGGCCTTAACCCACTGAGCCACCCAGGCGCCCCCAATGAATAGAATCTTTAAAA